AGGCGGTGAGCTCACGGGTAGCTGAGGAGGGAAGGAAATATCCTTTTGCTCCTCCTGCCTCTTGATTCTCCCTTCCTCCATCAGAAAGGAAATTCAAGATAGGAAAGAGGGACTGGGCAAGGTGCCCCCAGAGTCCAGGGAACCACACACCACGCCGGGCTCTGTAAGAAATCGGAGGTGGAAGGGGACAAATGCTCTTATGTGTCATAAAGTCAAGGTCATATTAACAGAGGAGGTGACCTTGAATGTAAACTTGAGAAGGGTAAGTAACAGGATGAACTTCTAGTTTCTAAGGGCTAATCAAAGGAAAACAAATGGGAAGACACCGCTCCAAGCTACAACAAGGAGAAAAGGAATCCTCTCCTCCTTCCCGCCCCTCCCGCCTTCCTTGGGACCAGGAGCTGCTACCCCTCCTCCAGCTGTGATGGGGAGAGGCTGGAGCCCACCCTCACCAGAGGCTGTGCAACCGGGGGACCCCTCAGAGAGGCTCGAAGCCTTAACTTCTGCGGGAAGGAAGGCCTGCAGAGAAAGGAAGGAGACAGGACATGGGGAAGGGAGCGTGGGCTCTGGCCGCCTGTGTCCCCAAGAGAAAGGCCCGTTTGTCTGGGTGTATGAGGAGCGAGACGACCTCTGACAGTCACTCAGCACTGGGCCCAGGCACTGAATAAAGGTGAACTGTTGCCAACCGTGCTTTCTGTCTACCGTCGCCCACACACGTGCGCACACGCAGATGTTACTGCACAGAATTGGGGCTCTCTGCCTGATGCATGTTAACAGCCGATTAATTACAGCATCAGCCTTTGGGAAGAGAGATCAGCTTTGTTCTGCGAGATCGACCTGCAGGGAGACGGGGGGCACGTGCCCCTGGATCTGTCCCCCCAGTTCAGGAGTTGGGGTGGAATTTAAGCTGTTAGGTGACCAGGCTGGCATGTGGAAAGGCTGGTGGGACAGGTTTTAATTAGTGGGCTTTGAGCATTTGTGGTAAGATTTTAAACATTTATGACAGAGCTCTAAACATTTATGATGGGGTTCTAAACATTTCCGATGGGGTTCTAAACGTTTCCGATGGGGCTCTAAACGTCTCCGATGGGGCTCTAAACGTCTCCGATAGGCTCTGAACATCTCTGATGGGGTTCTGAACATCTCCAATGGGCTCTGAACATCTCTGATGCTGTTCTAAACGTCTCTGATGGGGCTCTAAACATCTGTGATGGGGCTCTAAGCATTTTTGACGTGGTGGGGAAGGAAATTTCACACCGCATCTTCCTGAATGAGGGACCCCTCTTCTGATAAGAGTCTGCCTTTCCAGTCCCAGCTGTGTCCCTGTCCTCGGGTTCCGTGGGAAGGAGGATCTTTGGTTCCATGGTCAAGTCACGATTTCTTCTTTTGCACATGCTCTGGCTCTGCGACTCTGCAGATTTTCTGAAACGCAATTCTTTTTTATTTTTTTTAAAGATTGGCACCTGAGCTAACATCTGTTGCCAGTCTTCCTTTTTTCTTCTTCTTCTCCCTAAAGCCCCCCAGTACATAGTTGTGTATTCCAGTTGTGAGTGCCTCTGGTTGTGCTCTGTGGGATGTGGCCTCAGCATAGCCTCGCCAGCGGTGGCATGTCTGCGCCCAGGATCCTAACTGGCGAAACCCTGGGCCCCCGAAGCGGAGGGCCCAAACTTAACCACTCGGTCACAGGCTGGCCCCAGAAAGGCGATTCTTGCTCACTCTGTTGATAAGAGATGGGGTCCGTTGCACTGGTCCTGGCGGGCCCGCGGTTACACAGACGCACATGTGCAAACAAGCAGATGACACTGCATACGCCTGGCTTCAGTTACAGGACCCGCCCTCTGCTCTTGCCTCCTCGTCGTAGCAGAATCTTCTCTGGGAGACCCTGCTGCTTCCCAGGGGGACCTGGTGGGGCCATGTGTGGTCTCTTGCCAAAGGCTGGGGGGGCCGGATGGGGGGGACTCAGAACTTCCGGGCCTCCCTCCCCTCTCCTGTTTGACCCTGGAATTGGCACTGGTCACTCCTGGGCACAGGGAGGAAGGGAATTTGCAGACTAGGTGTAAGAGCTGGGCAAGGTTTCCACGTGTGATTCTCCAGACTCCGTCCCGTGCTCCCGGGCCTGCGACAGAAAGCAGGTGCACACAGGACCTGAGGGCCCTGCGCGCAGCGGTTCCCGGGCTGTCTGGCATGGTGTAACCGTGCAGATCCTGCTGCGGGGGTGGAGGACAAGGCCTTTGAGGGCCTTCCTGCCACCCCACCCCTGCTCTACTCCCACCTGTGTCTCCCCTGCTCCCTCTGGGAGGAGACTTAGCCTGGAGCTTGGCGGTGGGGAGCCGGGGAGGGCGGGGTGTGGCGGTGGGGGGCGGGGCAGGAGGGTGTGGCGGTGGGGGGCGGGGAAGGGGCGCGTGGGGGTGGGGGGCAGGGGAGGGGGGTGTGGCGGCGCAAACATGGGACTGGAGCTCGGGGAGGGGAGCGAGGTGCAGCAGCCGCAGGGCCCTCTCTTCTTGCTCCCTGTCTTCTTTCTGCTCCCCAGCGCCGGAGCCCTCAGCCGGGCACCCTGTGTCCTGTCTGTTGGCCCTTTGTCCCCTCTGTGGTGCGGGCTCCTGTCTGAACTCCGGCATCTGCAGGGCTCCCTGTCCTGAGGGCTCAGGTTCCGCACACTCGAGGGAGGGCATGTGGGTGAGGTGTCCAGACTTTAGTGCCTTCTCTGGGTCCCTACCCCCGCCCCTCCCTGGGCTTTGTAAAGTGCAGACCTCGCTCCACTGGGGGCTTCGCCTGAGCGTGGGCTCAGTCCCACCTCAGCACTGAGGGCACAGAGGATGTGGTGGGGCTGTGGTCCAGATGCCTCGGGCGGCCTGAGAAGGGGAGCGGGGAGGCGCCGGCGGGGCCACAGCTGCACTGCGGGGGGCCAGGGGGTGGGCTCAGCAGTGCAGGGGTCTGTGACAGCCTGCAGAGGCCTCAGCCTCAGGGTCTCCCTCCAGATTAGACACGCTCGCACCTCCTTCACACACAAACCACACGGACACCTCAGTAGTTTCTGTAGGGCGGCAGGCACCTAATGTGGTGGGCTTAACAGGGTGGCCCTTCACCACTGCCTTTTCCCCCATATCAAGTCAAGAAGCCTGAAATTCCTGTTGCAGACACCAAAGGACTGTGATTTGCCAGGTCCAGGAGAGATGGAAATGGGGCCTAGAGCCTGTGAGCTGGCCGATGCTGTCCATGAAAATGATAGTGTCAGTTCCTAACCCCAACTGCATCTGACGGCAGGTGCAAAGAGGTGAGCACACTCACACAGACGCTCTCCACCAACCTGCACCGGCGTCCCATCAATCTCCCCACTCAATCCACGTAGAGGGGAAGCGACACGCCCACCGTCACACAGCTAACCAGTGGCAGGGCCGGGATTTGAACCCAGTGCCCCCGATGGGCAGCCGCATGCCCGACCCCTGCAGTATTCTGCCTCCATGCAGACACGGCCACCGGGCAAGATTTGAAAGAAATGCTACATTTAAGTAAAACACAAGTGCTCCGTGATTGCGTCCGAGTCTCGCAGTCGTTGCTCGTTTCTGCCCGTTTCATCCCCGGTGCAAGTGAACTCCTTTCTGCCGCAGTGAATCCTGCCCTCTGGCTCGGAGCCTTCGAAACGGAGCAGATGAAACAGAAAAGCATGACTGTCACCCTGAACGGTTTCCAGCGACAGAACCCCACGGCAGCTCTGAACACGTTTCATAACCGTTACGTGTCCTGCCAGCTGTAAGCTCCCCGAGAAACTGGGCCACCCCGCCTTTCTCATCTCTCAGGACAGGGCAGTGAAAACGCCTGCACACTGGGCTTGCTTCACCTGAGCCGCCCTAATTCCAAGGGGGGGCCCGTCCCTCTTCCTGCTGCCTGCTGGGGTCTGTGTTCATGGGAGGGCTGCACGCCGGGTCACTTTTGGCACTCCAAGTTATGCAGCTTGGGTTTTTTAACCTGATTTTCTGCCAACTCTCACTGTTTCTTAACGGGGCGTGACTTCTCTCCAGGTCAGAGGTGAGGCAGCCAGCTCCTTGCTCTGGACTTGGTCTTTATTGTTCCAATGGTGCCTCCCACTTCCCAGGGGCTCTGTCCAGGGCTGGCACAGCCATGTGCAGTCACGTGATCCACGCGGTCAGTCCCGCCTGGGCACAGGTCAGGGGTTGCGATTTTCATGTGCGTAGAGGCACATGAAAATCTCTCTGGAGGCAACAGAGAGTAGGTTAGGAACCGACCCCACACAATGGAAGTAACGACAGGGTCAACATCCCAACTCTGTAAAGCATAAATGCAATTTGAACAGAGAGCCACTAACACCGTGCAATGACGGCATGATCTTAGTTCCCTCAGCAGAGGCGGGACGCCATGTGACATCTAGGACGGAGCAGTCCTAGGATGGTAGAGCTTGAAAGGACATGAAAGGGCACGTGCTCCTCCTCCCTTTTATTTTAAAGTGCCCAAAGTCCCAGCCAGTTGTTGGTCGAGGCTGGCAAGAGTGGAATTCTTTCACAACTGGCTCTGAGTGTTGTGTCTCTAAGAAGCGGCGTGAGAAATCCTGAAATGCCGCCAGGAGGAGGTACAGCAAGGCCTTGTCTAGAACAACGGATGCTCAGGAGGCTGGGCTTCATCAGATACGGCTGGCAGCCGGCCCTATATCTTTGGTGAGCCCAGTGAGCGTGTTCTGAGTCCTTCTCTACAACCCGGCCTTCTGTGAGGACATTTTCCCTTTGAGGTTGATGGCTGAGAAAGGAGAATCCCGGGTCTGAGAAGCTCGCCAGTGTCTCGCAGTGAAGGCTATTTTTTTCTGTCCGTTCAGCATCCCGGATGTGTTTGGTGAACTGTTTCTTCCCTATTCTCAATCATGGGATTCTGGCGCCAATTATAGTGCTCCATCCCTGGCCACGAGGCTGGTCATGTGACCTAGGCCTGATCAAGGAGAGAGAGAGAGAGGGAAAGCAGAGCCCTAATGATTTCAGTTGAATCCTGGATCCAGCTGCGTCTGAAGACAGGGTTTGCTCTTCTGGACTGTTGAGTTCCATGAGGCAAGTAAGTTCCCATTACTAATTACCTAAAGAGCTCTAACAAGTCTGGGGAAGGGTAGATCGCTGGAGGCGCTCAACATGGCTGATAGGTGTGGTCACCGGACGGGGCAAAGAGGTGCAGGGTTCCCCAACAGAACAGGGTCCACCCAGCCCTGTTCCTGGGTGGTGTGACTGCTGCCCACAGCCAGGATCCAGAAGTCCCCAATGTGGGGGCCTAGCAGGCTGGGGGGCTCTTCTCTGAACTCTGTCACCTATTACCTGAACCAATCACCCCGGGAAGGAGAGGGCAACGGACTGGAGCAAGTGTCCTCAGCTGCCCAGGAAACAAACATGGCGGCCAGCATGGGGACAGAAAGGGACACAACTCTGCTGTCATCTGTGGGAGAAAGGGGAGGTCCCTCCTGCGCTCTAGTGCTTCCGCAGTCCCTTGGGGAACCCAGGAGCACTGCTGGCCTTGCTTCCAGATTGGAGTGGAGGTGCGGGTGGTCAGAGCTGTCGGCAGAGAGTGCCTCCCCAGACCCCTGGGGCTGATTCGTAGCTGCCCCGGTTCTGCCAGCTCCCAGCAGGTGGCCAGCTGATGGGTGGTCAGCCAGTTGGAACAAGCACGGCCCAAGCTCTCAGGTTCTTGGGCGGACAGAGGGATGTTTCCACTGCTCCTTCTGTTGCAAAATACGCCTTCAACTCCTCCTCCTGGGTATCTGCTGCAGGCCCTTTGTCGTTGTCCCACAATGGGGCTGGCCTGTGGCAGCCCACTGTCGGGAGGAATACTCTTCACTTACTTGAAAGGATATTCTGATATTTATAGGAATTACTTCCACGCAGGTCTAAAACCTTGATCAGACGACTCCTGCAAATGCACAGGTACGTTGGCATTGGAGAGCTGTGGAAGATTTGTGTATGTGTTATACCCATGGCCCAGTACTCAGAAAACACTGCTGGGAAATACACACAAAGTGTCAAATTTGATTAAAGTGCTTGCTGATATTTCCAAGAAACAGTCAATGCTCGAAGCTACCATGTTTCTGGCAATGTCTAGAGAAATCTGGACCTTGTTGGTCACGTGATCCGTCAACTGGCCTAGTCATAAACACATGGGCACCTCCCGAGGGTTCATGCCCTATTTTGCATATGCTTAGAATTTTCTAGTTTCCCCTCTTTGCCTCTCAAGTATGCATGCAATTATCAGAAAGTTCGCTGGTTTTGAGACAGTCACAGTTCACGTTTCTGTGGTTCTTTTTTTTTTTTTCCTCTGCATGGCATCGCAGGAGCATTTGGAACAAGCCCAATAACATTCATGCAGTTGACTCAGCAGATTGGTGCTGACTTCTCAGTGACTGGTCTCCTTTTCCTTTTTCTGTAGAAGAAGTTGACGTATTGAGGGTGACACTTTGTAATCTACCAGCCCCAAGCCTAATCCCGGTAATAATTGTTGGAAAATACACACACCGTGACGCAATATGTATTTTACTCACTAGGTATTTTCTAAATCCTCAGGGCAGGAATGGTCTCCTTTAAAGTTCCTCAGGATTTATGCAAAGAGACTCGGCTCCTGGATGTCGCTCGAGCAATCAGCACAAAGTCTTAAAAAAGCATTTGGGGGAAGAATTCTGGGGAAGTGATCTTTGCGCGGATTTTTGGCAATGAGGAGAAGCCCTCTGCTTAGCAGAGTGCATGATGGGAACTGGAGAATTCCAGAGGTTTCCCCTTTTTTTTTTTTCGTTTCTAAAGCTAACTTCAGAATAGATTTGTGCAGAGAAAAGGCAGGGCCCTCGTCAACTGACAGGTCACCAGTGCTGTTCCTGGTGGAGGCCTGGAGGGCTCCGCCAGCCTTGCTCTGTCGAAGGTCCTCCAGAAGTCTCTCCTGGACTCGCTTCCCCGCTCCTGAACTTGCTCTTCAAGAACTCTCACCCCCAGCTCCCCGAGGGGAAAGATGCCAGCTTCTTGGCTGGCACATCCTGCGGTGGCCAGGTGCTGGCTTCTCGAGAGAGGCTGTGTTCCCCCTGTGGTGTGATCACCTGGGGACGGGACAGGTCTCCCTGCTCCCCAGACTTCTAAGTGGCCTCCTCTAGTGCGAGGTTCCCCCGTGGTTTCCACTAACGGTTTCCAGCATTAGTCAGCCCTTACGGTCAAAATTTAGGTCTGAAGTAGAGGTTGCTGCCGGGTGCACGAAAGGCTCATGCATCCAGGGTGGGGCTTTACTGGATCTTATTTTATAGAATCCAAGAGCTTTCTAAACTGTCCAGTTCTCTGCAGAATTAGAGGGTCAATAAGCAGGTGCCAAAGTCTAGAGCAACGTCCCAGCTTTTTTCGGTTTTGTGCCGTCCCACCCCTATCCTCCTCTTCCCACACTTGCTGATTCTTAACAGCAACCCCTTCCCACCCTCCCCCCCCCAGCACCGAGGACAGGGCCTCCCTCACAGCCGGCGAGCTTTTGGCAGTTTGTCCGAGCCCCCCATGTCCGTGTCCTTCCTTCAGTGATCTGGAACCCGCATGCTGTTAAAAGGATGCTAAGAAGCAGGAGAACTTCGAGGCTCTGGAAAGTTCTGCTGAGACGTCTGTGAATCAGCAGATGTTGACTCTGCCATGAGGCTCTGTCTGGAGAAGCAGAGCCCCTGGGGCCCTCCGTGCGGTATTTGCCTATGACTGGGGCAGAGGGAGACGCGGGGCAGGACAATACGAATCGAAAAAACGGCGTAAGGATCAGACGTGTAAGGAAGGGAGTCGAAAATGAGCTTTGGCTCCAGCCCTGTGTCGTTCTGTGCGATCCCGGGCAAATCATTCGTCCTCTAGGTTACACAAAACTCCACCTTCATTGGGAGCATCATCTGAGACTAGGTTGCAAAGGTGCCCTGGAGCCTGTTTCAGGAGATCTGCAAGTTGGTGCTTCTCAAGCTGCAGTGCGCCTGCGCTTGTTAAAATCAGATTCTGGATCATCTGGGCTGGGGCAGGGCCTGACTCTACTTTTCCAGCAAACTCTCAGGTGATGACAATGCTGCTGGCCTAGCGGCCACATGGTAAGAAGCCAGGGTTGTCCCAAAGGTTGATCACAGCCCAGGCCCCTGGCAAGTGCTCCAGAGGTGGTCACGATTACTAGTAGTGATGTTCGAGAGAGCTTTACTTGTATTTTGGTTCAGGGAATTGCTTCCAGATTAACCCCTCACCTCCACCACTGATGTAGATGATGGTATATGTTTCAGCCCCGAGGATAATTTATAGCCTGAGCTCTTTTTCCTGAGGAGTTCCCTCTAGGCAGCCCTCGATAGTGAGTGCTTTCACGATGATATTTCCAGAAGGATTTTTCTTTATCCCTTTCCATTATCTCCGCTCTTTGGATGGTTATCATGTATCATATCTAATTTTCCGTAAGGCCTGAGAGTGCGGGATAATCCTACATCACAGCCAGAAGAGGCACGAGAGTCCTACTAGTTATGTAATGCGAGAGCACGGAGACAGGAGAAAATGTGACCATTTTCTTTAAGTTCCTCCCTAAATGTCCGTAGACCCTTCCACACTGCTCTGGAAGTTGCATCTTCCTCCAGTTCTGACATAGAATAATAGATTCATGAAGAAGCTAGGAGCACCAAGGGGCTTCAAGAAATCTCCAGGTATTTTCCTCGTTCACCTTTGCAGATTTTTTTAAAAAAGAAAATTCCAAATTTACAACCGAACCTGAGAGGCTTGCGAGAATTTTGAGCAGGTGAAGAAGAAGGAACTCATGTCCCTTCTTGTCCCTTGGCCGCCTCCCTCGACACGCAGGGTGTGAAGGGCGGCCCCTATTTTATCTTATTTAATCCTTTCTGCATGCCGGCCGCCTAAGTTATTATTACCAGCCTCATTTTCCAGATGAGGAAACTGAGGCTGGAGCAGGGAGTGACATTCCCAACAACCGTGAATGCCTGCGGACTGACCAGGAAGATACATTCCTTGACCGCAGGCTCTGGGTAGATGGAAGAGCTGGTGGAATGGGATTCTGGTTCTTTTTGGAAGAATGTGGGTTTGTTCCTTCTTTTCCTTCCATTTGCTGAGGGTTTGACGCCCCTGCCTTTTCCCTCAACCGTCCAGCGATTAGCTGTTTTCCATCTGCATTCCTCTGTTAAAATCAACTTAAAAAGGGAGCTCTGGGCTTCCTGCGTTTGGACTGCGCATCATTTAGCAATTGTCACTTTTCACCCAGGAGGGGCTGCATTTCAGCGGTGGATGATGTGTTCCCAATGCGTAATTTATCTAGTTGTTTATAAAGCACTTTAAGGTCTTCTGGGACCGCAGGGGCTGTGTAAATATGCTATTTATTATTCATCAACATATCCTCTTAATGGTCCCCCCTGACGGGTCTGCATCAATTGAGAGGGGTCAGGTTGCCAGCAATGCCACACGACCTCCTTTCTGGGTGACAGGCTTGGCCCCTGCTCATGCTCTTCCACGTGGCAGGTGGCGTTCAGGTGAGCAGCTGACTGGAGGAGCTTCTGAAATCCCCACAGCGGCCTGTGTCCATCACAAAAATGATGTTGAGAGCACAGGGACCCTCCTCACTCCACAGGGGAGTCGCGAGAGCAGTGGTCCAGTAAGTGGATATTTCCCTTTCAACCCTTTGGAGTTGCTGAAAATCTTGCTGATGTGTGTTGCCCCTACTTCATTCCTTAAGAGAGTAAACTGAATGCAAGTAAATTTTTCTCAAAATCAGATTTTTTGTATGATTATGAAAATATTAAAAAGCTTACTTGTAAAAATGTGAGAAAAATAGGGAAATCAAAGAAGAAAATAAATATCACCAATAGTCCTTATATACAAAAATAATATCTGCTTTAAAATTTTAGTTTTTTTCCAGTCTTTTTCATGTACACCCCCGGCCCCCCCAATATTTGGCATCAAGCTGCCTCTGTCTTTGCTCATTTAGTATTTTATACTTCCTGTACACTTTCCTGTTCATTAAGTATTTTTCACAACCTGATTTAAAAGTCTTCATATGCGTACGCAGCAGGTGTTTCTGTGAGGGGCTGGGCCTTGCAGTGTCTTACACAGTCATCCAGAATATTAATTTTCATTGGTGATATAAAAGGGGTACGTGACCTG